AGCTTCTTTGATTGAAAACCGTGATATGAGCCAGTGTATAAGCGTACTTATTTAAGTTGTCTTCTGGGTTGGTTGATAGGGATTTTTATTATTATTATTATTATTATTATTATTTGTATTGAAACTGTTGTTGCTGTGTGAGAGAGATTGTGGCGCACTTAAATACAGTTTCGCTTGGGTGGGTCAAAGTTAAACGTGGGTGAATATCGTTTTGATTTGCTTGGCATTTCAACAGTTGGCATATTGTCGTGACTCGCTTAGGTGTATGTGTGTGTGTGTGTGTGTGTGTGTGTGCATCATTTGATTCCAATAGTATTAACTCTGTTGAGTAGTTTAAGTAACAAGAAACCAATCGTTCGAAGGAGAAAAGTAGTTGCTAGTTAGATTCATAGATCTATAAGTAGTATTCTTAACTTCGCTCGTTAAGCGTTTAATTTGATTGATTAGTTTGTGTTTAAAGTGTGGAGAGGACTAGAAATCTAAGTGTTAATACATAGATAGTTATAGAGCAGTTGGTGTGCAAGATTGCAACGCATTTGTTTTTTAATTTTATTTTTTAATATTTTTGAAGATGTAAACATTCGTAATTATTCGTACTGCGGCAACATTTCTCTAAAAATAACACCATATTTGTTTAGCTTTTTCTTATATTGTTAAACACTTATGCTTCATTACTTAAGTTCTAATATTATTTAAATATTATCATTCGTTTTTTCCTTTTTTTTTTGATTCAATTAAGACAACATTTATTTTTTATTGTTTGATGTTTTATTGGGTTGGACACAGTTTTCTAGTGGGACAAATCTTCAAATGTCTTAAGATTTTGTTATGGTATAATATTCGTATTTGTTTTTCTTGTTTTAAATGTAGATTTGGGTTAGCGCCTCATATACCACACTTGGTGCAGTTTCATTTTGAATGTAAATAAGTAAGTATTTAGTAGTTGTAAAGTTGAAAGCTTTTTTTTAGGTGTTTCAGCTAAGGTACCAATTTGCTACAGGTTGTCTAAGTGGATTACTTTTGCACTCTCTCTTGGTTCGTGTTCTCGCTCTTGCACTCGCTCTCCCGCTTGGGCCAAGGCAGATTGGAGATCTTTTGAGAATTGGTGTTGGAAGACTACATCTATGTAAATACATATGTATATACATGTACATACATATGTGTATAACAGTAAGTGAGGATGCAGTATTAGTTGGAAAGGATCAAATCAATAATTCAAGTGACCTCAAGTTCCAATTGTTAATCCAGTTCCGTTCAATTAGGTTTTTTGGAAATCCATTGTTTGTAAATAATAATAAAACTATTTACATTAGCTTAGTTTTGTTGGCTATTTGCTATTGTATATCGTTATTTGTTCTTGTTTGCTAAACATTTAATGCCTAATAGTTGTGTGTGTATTCTGTGTCTTATGTCTACTTAAAAAAATACAATGAAGCAATATACATATTCGACAAACATTGTATTTGCATCGTATATTTTTATCCACACATACATACATACAGTGTATCCTATATGTATGCTTCACATTTACTTATGTATTCTGGAATAATAAACTACAATATAATGCATTTAGTTAGTTTTCTACATTTGTTTTCCTTTTTGCTTAGATTTGCTGGTCCAATTTCTGATTTTAAACATTGATTTCATTTGATTTGCTTTCGGTTTTAAATCTCATAGGTCTTATTGTTTAACACGCAATTATATAAGTATTATATGTAATTGTACATAACTAATAAACTATTTACTATAAGTTGCTATATACATAAATATGTATATAGAGTATACGGGTTGGTCTAAATAGACTTGGAGATTATTGAATAATTGAAATTTGAACAGCAACAGTGTGAAACAACAACAAACAGAAATTTACAAGTTGTCATTGTCTTTTGAGCGGTTATACGATAGATATATTGGCTTATCATATTTATTGGCTGACATCCACTGCTCTAACTATTTACTATTTAAATGTGCTGGGTACAATTTCTAAATCCATTACACCTCAATTTTATTAAGGTTTTGTAAAGTCGTTTTATTTTATGGTATGCCCAGCATAAGAATAAAATCCAAGTAAAACTGATTGGTTCAGATTCATAGATTGTGTCTTTAAAAGCACAATCAATCCAAATGCGGCGAACTGTAATTGGTATCTATATTTTCTCTGAATACTCTGGTAGAGAGTTATTTGCAAGTATCGTTCTCGAACCAACTATTCCAAAATAGTTTCAGCTCTGAAATGGGAAGCTTGAAATCTGATTTTCGGCATATAAAGCATATTGAAATAAACTGACAGTTAAGAGACTGCATCATTGCGGTTTCAAATTTCAAGTGATACAATTTTTGTTCTCTTAAATATTCCCAATTCTTATAATACAGTACAAAAAATTATATGGTGTGGAAATTCGAGGAAATTCGATTCCACTTCGATTTTTTATAAATATAGCATTTCTTTAGTTTAGAAATTTTTGTTCGTTCACATGTTTGTTTGGATTTTGTATGTTTTGTTTTTGGTTTTTTTGTTTGGTTAGTCGGTAGTTTGTTGGTATAAAGCTTTCGTTACGCATGCAGTCAACAGTGAAAATGCTGTTGCATAATTTTGTGGGCTGACCAAATTCAATTGATTCTAATTTGCCCACATATGTATATATGTGTGTGTGTGCGTGTGTGTGCTTGTGTGTGTACATATGTATATACCTTAGCTAATTGCATATTGAGTGTTCGTTCTTCGCTGGTTTGGCAGTGCGCAGACGTTGTTTGTGTGCGTGTGTGTAGCACACTGGCAAACATAAACACTTCCACACTTTAAGCAATAATTTGAATATTTATGACCATTTCGTAGCTAGTTTGACAATTCGCGTTCGGCTTCATTTTCGCATTTCGCATTCGCATTCGTTTCGTTCACATTTCATGTTGTTTTTATGCAAATTTTCGTTGCTTGCATAAATATCTGTGTGTGTGTGTGTGTGTGTGTGTGTGTATAGTGTGTGTGTAGTGTGTTTGAGTGGGTGAGTTGTGGCCAGCAGCATTTCAAGCAGTCAGCAGGCAACAGCAACGGGCAGCAGCCAGAGCGGCAGAGAAATCGGCAGTAAAAGAAAGAGAAATAGATAGAAAGAGAAAGAAGAAGAAGAAGAAGAAGAGCACATATTTTAATTGGCATACAAGAATTTCAATTTCATGCGTCTATATGTATGTGTAAGTGTTAGCATGGCAAAAGAAAACAACGACAAATCATATAGAAAAATATACCAAAAGAGGAAAGAAAAACACAGACAGACTGAGATAGCCATAACGATTAACAGTTAGCAATAGGTAACGAGCAACTGAATCCGTTATCCCTTCTCGTTCATTCTTCGAGTCTCCGCTTGAAAGGCAGCCAAATTGTCATTCTTGGTCTTTAACAACACTTGAACAAACACAAATACACAGAGATACACAAATACATAAACACATAACATAACTGTATATGTGAGTGTACTAATAAATGAGTAAGGCTACAATAACGCATACATAAATACATTCGAGTTTGATTCGATTGAATCCTTAGAACAATGCTTCTACACCAGGGTGTCAAGCCGAAACCTATTTCTGTTCCGGCTCCAGTTCCGGCTCCGGCTTGTACAGTGTAAAGATTTCAGTAAAGATTATGATTATGATTTTAATATAATTTTGTTCTAGTTTTTGATGTTCATAATAAACGACCAATACAGATTTCTGTAGCTGGATCTTAAATTCTGAATTTCAATCGGTTAAGTTGCGGTTCCGTTTCCGGTTTGACACCCTGATCTACACATAAAAGTTGCTGTAATGTAAGCCTAATTTCCAATTCGTCTGTGTGTACAAAATTTGAATTGAGAACATTTTTCTTTTATGTTTTTTGATTAGCAATAATAATTATAAATATGAATTTACAATTTTTTTTTCATAAAGCCAATAAATACAGTGTCAATTAAATGGATGCAAACAAATTTTAAGTTTATAAAGTAGTAGAAACCAGAAAATTGTCGAAATAGCATTCACATACACACACACACACACACGCGCGCATAGAAAAGCACACTGACACACACACACACACACACACACACACACACACACACACACACACACACATATGCGAATAGCAGGTATTCGTTTATGGATATTGAGCAATTCATCGGACCTTATTCATTAGCTTAACTATTTGGTTTTCTTGTTGATTTGTCCCTCCCACACTCTTCATTTTTGTTTTTTTTTTTTTGTTTAGTTTAAAGTAGTTTCAATTTTCATCACAGCTAACGTCAATTTGAGTTTTGGTGATAACTACTTGTGTTTTTGGGTTTCTTTGTTTGCATTTAATTTGATTTCGCCGACTCAGAACTAACGAAAAGAAACAAAATAAAAAAGTAAATCATATTTTCAATTTGATTATTTGCTTTATTTTTTATTTAGTTTAAGATTAAAATTGCATTATACTGCAGCTTTCCTGTTATACATATAAATCTCTATTTAATTATTAAACACTATAGCACATTTTACACCTTTTTAACATCAATATAACATACACACCGATTTGGATTTGACTGATCTTAAACTGACCTATGTGTAATATTGTTTCTGCTTCTGTTTCTGTTTCTGTTTTTTTTTTTTTGTATGTTTAAGAAAGACCAACCAAGAAAAAAGAACACTTACATATGTGTAAGTAAAGTACATTGAATGTTAAACTTAGAAATTAAAACACTTAAGTTGCAATTCCATTTTTTAGTATAGTATATAGTATATATTATTAAGTCCAGCCTGTAGTCTCTTTCTTTGCTAATTTTGCTTACACAAACGTTTACGAAATTGAGCAGAAAGAGCGCGAAGAAATGTATACTATTTGTTTCTTCTATTTTGTTTTTCATTTGTTGTATTGTTTTCGAACCTGCATGCAACATGAAAATCTCGAAAATACTTATGCTGGTATCAAAGATGTACTCACTAGCTGATAGAGATACGAATTTTGAAGGTTTACAAATAAATGCCTATTAGCAGGAGACGCCCTGCTTGGCCACCGTATACCAAGTGCTGACCGTAACCAGCGACGGCGAGTCTGGTGTATGGGGCAGCTCTGTCTGCCCAATGCCTGCCACTCGATAATTATTATCCAGCGGTGGCGGAAGCGGCGGTGGCAGCGGAATTGCTGCTGCGGCGGCTGTTTCTGCTGTTAATGCTGCTGCTGCTGCTGCTGCTGCTGCTGCTGCTGCCTGGACTTGTTTGCGATTGTTGCGCTGCCTGTTCTTGTTTTTACTCTTGGCTGGCTTGGGTGGCGCATGACCTTGACCCTGACCCTGACCCTGAACTGGGCACAACTGCTGCGGATGATGGAAATGCATTGGCTGCGGCGTATGCAGATCGCGACCCACCTGAGGCCCCACCTGCGGACAACGAAAGCGTATCGCCTGCTCATTGGCTATGCTTAGCTCTGGCCATCTTGGCGGCTTCTGAGAATGTAAATGCTGATGTGGATGCTGATGCGGATGCGGATGCTGGTAATGATGATGGCGCTGCTTGCTCTTGCTGCGCTGGCGCTGACGTGACTTGGAGTGCGATTTGCGCACTCGCATCGTCGGCAATTGGCGCGACTGTAGCTCCGTTTGGGGGCGTTGGCAGTGACGGCAAATGGATTGACTGCGCGGAGGCATCAGCTCCTCGCTGTATTCATAATCATCTAAGTCGGCATCATCTGCATACTCTTCCACATCATAATCATCATTATCGTTATCGTTATCGTACTCCGCATCTGCTTCATTCTCGTCCTCATCTCCATCGTTGTCGTCATCTTCATCTTCATCGTCATCTTCATCTCGCTCATCCAGCTGTATATCGTTCAGGGGGCGGTGCCTATGATTAGCTTGGTAGTTGTTGTTGCTTGCTGTGTAATTGTTTGTTTTTGCTGTGGTTGCTATGCTTATTGTTGTTGTACTGGTGCCATCCATGTCAATGACATGACAGCACTTGGCTGCTGCTGCCTGGTGGCTTGTGCTATGTATTGGTTGCATTTGTTGCTGTTTCATCTTGTAGTTTGACTTACGTTTCTCGTGTTCCGTTTGTTGTTGTTTTTGTTGTTGTTGTTGTTGTTGATGCCGTTGCTTTTGCTTTTGTTGCTGACTGCGACCACGTTGCCGATGTCTGCGAACCGTGTACTCATCGCCCTTGTCAGTCGGATATGGTCAGAATGCTGTATCAAATACGGACATAGATCTGGATATGGCATCGTCATTGCGGCACGCCTCCAGGAACTCCTCCAGCGTCACAACTCCATCGCGATTGATGTCCATTTTCTGTTCAAGTTTCGATTAAAGACAAAATTGTATTAGAATAACACGCCATCAGTTTGTCAAATAGTCTTCTTGCAAATTCTACGAGCAGCCTTTCAATTAAAGTCTAGGAAATTTCACACACTTTCTGTTGCGCAGAAACAATCGGTTGAAGACTAAGAGTCAGTATAAAAGTTACTCTTTAATTTTGTTGTTCTTGATCAGTGTCATAAGCCGAGTCGATATAGCCATCTGTCCGTCAGTCTGTGCGTACTAGTTCCTTAGCTATTTTGATGAAACACAGACTGTATTTGTTGTACAGAAATGGGATTCGCATTCGCAGCTAGTTTAACTTATTTTCATGTCCTACTTAATGTTGAATATCTCTGCTGTAGGAATACAAAGAGAAATGAATTTAGGGAGGATAATACTGACAAATATATAGTGCAGCCTGCTACGCATTTGGTTCTCCCCTTTTGGCCTGGCTGCTGGCTGCTGTACCATATGGACATAGAACAAGATGGGGTATTCAACAGGACGACAACCGCTAATGACACTGCGTGACTGGCAGACCAAACGAACCAAGACAGCAAGCTGCCCAAGCTGGACATACTGGACGGATGGACAACGTGACAAGTCCCCCTATTTCTATTTCTGCGGCTGTCTGCCATTCGATGTGCTCTCTTGCGAAATGACCAACAAAAGAAATACATAATTTGATTTGCATAATGCTGAGTAAATAAGCCGCCAGTTTGAGGCGAGCGCAAATTGAAATTGAATAATTAACATAAGTAATGCGAATCGTTGCGGTCAGTTGCAGAAGTGAACCGAACCGAAACGAAACGAACCTTAGCGAAGCGAAGTGAACCGAACCGAACCAATACCGTACAAGCATCCACAAGGATGCCACAATTGTGGGCACTCACCTGAAAGATGTGCTCCACCTTGCCCTTGATTTTCTCCTCCTCGGGACACTCGTCGGGCAGGCGGCCCATTAGCTCGTATATGGCAGTCACAATGTCAGTCATTTCCTCCCTCGTAATGAAGCCGTCGCCGTTGATGTCGTAGAGGGAGAAGGTCCAGCGGAGTTTCTCCTCAACCGAGCCGCGCGACAGTATCGAAAGTCCTTGAACAAAATCCTGTGCCAAATGAAAAATAGCCCAGTATAAATACACATTATACAAACAAAAAAAAAAAAAACAACAACAAAAAATAATCTTACAGTTACATTTACAGTTACAAACAGGTGCGACATGAAACCACGACAAGACGGAGCGAGATCGAATATATGTTTTAAGAAATTGGCCGTAAGCCACAGCCCATTAGCACGTACATGGCTTCAACTACTTATCGCCCAATCCACCCCCCTCGAGTTAAATCCAGCCTTGTCCAAAACGCAGCATGCTGCTGAAGTGGACATTCATCTCAGTTCTGTGTATGACAAATGTGCCTAGATAACAACTGGCAAGTGGAAAAAGTTGTACAATAACGCCGGACAGAACTCCTCATCCGATCCACGAGCGGGAAAAAACTCCGAGCGTAGCTAAAAGCAAAATGTTGCTTCCTTTTGCATATTTCCTCGCATTGGTCTTATCTATTTGTATTTGGACTTGTTTTTGTGCTATGCTCCAGCTATTTGCTGGATTTGGCCCATTTGGCAAATGGCAGAGAGCACAAGTCTAATTTATCAATGAGCCAGGCAAGTGATAGAAACAGGTAAAGAAATGAAAAAAGGAAGGAAGTTCGCAAACTAGTTTCGAGCATTTGCAGTTGCGGACGCTGACAAATGTGTGTAGTTGAAAACACAACTGAAACTACTTGGATCTTTGTTGCAAGGTGCGTATATAGATAAGCAGTGTCTGCAACCAATTGTAGAAATGAAAGGCGAGGGTGGTACAAAATATTATGCGTTATGCAGAGTAGGTTTTGCGAGCCAATGACTAAAAATGCATCTAAGTACTTTTTCCAAAAAATGTCGATACTTGAACGGCATTTTCAATACTTCCCATAGCCGATGAGAAAAGCACTATTATTAATTTGAGCGGTCATTTCTGGGAGATTATTTGAAATCTTTTTCCACGAAATTGGTTTAAATTTGTTGAAACTTTAATGCAAATTACTTCTTAAGCGGCTATATTTAATATAAAACATAACACTTTAAACATACGAGGAAGAATTAACAAAAATAAATCAGTATTTTGACAATTTTATTTTTTACAATAGCTTTACTATTATTTTGAGCGCTGCTTTATTTATATTTATATTTATATTATATTATTTTATTATTATATTTCATACACCAATATAATCATCACAATGGTAAAATCACTTTAAAAAAAGTGTAAGACCTATAAAATGAATACAGATGACAAATTATTATCATAATAGTGTTCCACATGCAGAACGGATTAGTTTTGGCAAAGTTGCGGTTAGCCAAAAGCCAATAAGAGAAAGTATTTAGTATAATTTTGGGGAGATTGGAAGTGAACATTCCTTTTTTGCTTATTAACATTTGCTGTCGATGTATTCGTTTATTAACTTGTGTTGTTTACAATACTTTTTACTTTTTCACTCGTCACTGCACTTGCGTTTTCGATTCTTTTAAGGAATGTTGCACAATTCAACTCAAATCCAACTCGAATTGCGTTGACGGCAAAACCACGTTTTCAATTTAATAAAAGCAACTGTCGTGCAAATCGTGCATAAAACACCTTGCAACAATATGTGAGCTTAATTGAAAAGCGGAAGTCTACTTAGTCAACCATCACTCGACACACACACACACACGCTCACTCGCACACAAGGCAAGAGCAGCTGGAAGGCAGAGAAAGAGAGAGAGAGAGAGAGAGAGAGAGGGAAGTGCGAGGGAAGAGCGAGGGTTGTTTGTGGTATGTGTTATAGTGTGCTCATGTGCATACACTCGGAAAAATGTAGAAAAATGCTCTAAAATAAAATTCGTTAGAATGTTTTTCTGGCTTATGGAAATTTTTATAGATTAACGAAATATATTTCTTCAAATTAAAAACACTTGCCACAAATTGACAACTTCAAAAACGTGATTTTTTCTCCTATTCTTTTGGTAATATTAAAAATGTTTAAGAATGTTGCGTCCAAAAATGTTTAAAAAATGTTGACTGAAATAAGGTCATAAAATGAGCTTTCGCATTTTATAAATGCACTTTCTGAAAAATAAGGTAGTATGGGTATTGCGAATGAATTTCAAGTCGATTTTTTATTTAAGTGTATAAATGTTTACGTTTTCAAGTATGTACATGTTTTATATGGAGAACGTGCCTTGGAGTCATTACAATTTTAGGTCATTATTCACAAACGAAAATGGCGAACAGGCAAAAAGGCAAAGGCGAAGCCCGCTCATATTTGCCCAGATAAGCGACTGTCTCTTAGTAGCTGAATGTGTGTGTGTGGGTGTGCGTGTGTATGTGTGGCATGTGTACAACTGCAGCAGTTGTCTGCCTTTTGTTTAGCCTGTATCTTTGCTTTACCATATTGCCCTTGTGTCTTGACTCGGCCACCCTCAGCGAGTTGGCGTTAAAATTCCCATAATTCATCGTTTCAATGGCATCGCCAGCCAGTCAGCCAGTCAGCCAACACGTGCTGCTCCCTCTCTCTCTGTGTCCTCCGCTATCGGCCTGTTCCGTCCTCTGGCATACCATTTTGCATAGCCAATGGGCGTGGTTCCCTCACACCGGAAGTGAAGTTCATGTTCGGACGTCGGCGAACAAAACTGCAAAATTATTTGCAAATTTGCATGCGAAGTTTCTGCCTGCCTGCCTGCCTGCCACACCCCAGCATAAAAAACCAAAACCTTCTATTGCCTGCCTCACCTCCCTCCACTCGGGCTGACCACCCACGCAGCCATTTGCCACGCTTTGCATGCGCATATTTATTTGATTTCCGTTTGGCTTCTTCGCGCTTTGTGTGCGCCAACAACACTATTTTTTGTTTTGTTTCTGTTTTTTGTTTGTGCAGTGGAAATGTCGACAATGACAGCCGCAAAAACAACAACAACAGCTACAACAGCTCTAGCAGCGACAGCTACATGAACACGGCACGTGAAAATAGATTGAGATAGGCGACGGCGGCAGCAACCATATACCATTCCACCATCCGCACCACCCGATGCGCTTGTCATCCACTTGTGCTGCATTTTATTTCAATTTTGAGACATTTCACTTGGTTGTTTTTCTTATTTTTTTTTGTTGTATTTAGGTTGGCTTTTGTTTCGCTCGTTTTGCGCTGCCATTTGGCAGCTTACCCGCTGCTGGCGAACTACTCAAGAGTAGGCTATGGGGAAGTAGTGAACGTAAAAATGCCAACAGTTGTTTTCAGCTTGTTTTCTGCACATGGGCAAGATTCCGATCGAAATTTGTTGGCTTCAATATCTAAATTTGATCAAACACCTGTTCCAATGTACTGCCAATCCCTGAAGGGCATATTTATTGTCTAGTGTAACTGGCAACATAAACAGTTGCCCAACTTCATGAGACCCTTTTGTAAAGAATGTTTATCATAAAAATTCTTTATATTTATTTAAAATGTTTATTTGCTTTTTTGGTTTCAATTGAATGCTTCGCTTGATTTACTTATGAACCTTATCTAAAAAAAACCTTGAAAACGAATTTCAGATATACTTCCTAGCCTTTCCACACGTTTTCTATCTTTATCAAAATAGTTGCTGATATTTTGTATGCTTTTTGGCAGAACTTTAGCGTATGATTTAGTAAGACTGAGTGTGCTTTTAAACCGCTGTGGGGCAGCTTATTTATGCCTCTTAAATCTAAGCACTTTGTGCTTAAAGCCAATCAGTCGCTGTCTGCCGCATTCACAGAATCTTCTCTCCACCCATCAATGACAGACACTTTTTAGCGCAGAAAATTGCAGAAACTTTTGCGCAACGCATTAAAGCATAGGAAAGTGTACGATAAGGAAAGGGAGGAGAAAGAGCGAATATGTGTGTGAGTGTGTGTGGAATAAAGTTATGGACAACTTGTCGTATACGTATTATTTAGTTCGATTTGGCAGGTTTAACAAGAACTTTGCTTATTACAACTTAACGCTGGTCTGAGTGCTAAAATATCCAAAGGACTTTCACAGCACATGTCGACATGTTAATGTTAATGTTGTTGTTCTTGCTGATGCTGGCTGGGGCCACTGCTAGCAAATCGCAGCTAAATGAGCAGAGCTTTCTCCCCTTGAAGTATTTTGCAACATTATTTGGCGATGTCATGCAACCAAATTCCATACAATTCCACCCACAGAGAGCCACAGGCCAGCGAAGAGGAGCAGCCAAGTTGCTTATAATGCTACTTGACTATGTCTTGGAGTTTCAACTCAACTGTCAGCCATATTTTATGCTTAAAATGTCTAAAGTAATTTCATTGTACTTAAGCGCTTTTTGTTGCTCTTTTTGTGCTTGGGGTGTGCGTGTGGGTGGTTATGGGTGCTTTGCCACTTGCCGTCTCAGTTGACTGACCAGTGAGCCCACCCAGCCAAGCTCTTTGCAAGGCAGCGATATTTTGCTTCGCTTCATTGTCCCCCAGCAAAAGAGAGAAAGAGAGAGAGAGAGAGAGAGAGAGCGAGAGAGAGAGATAGAGGGGAAGGGAAACAGAGAATGATAGTACATAATTAAGTATATTAAATTGAATTATTTTCCAAGTACTTAGGCGCATTACAAAGTCACAATTTTCCATTTGCCAACGTTTATTTAAGCTTAACTCTTTAATGTCTAACTTTGGATTTGATTCGGTTCTTAAGTTTAATATATATCTTATACCTTTCTGTAAGCTTTTCTCTTTCTCTGTTTTGGCTTCTGGGCTTGTCAGTCCATAAGGTCTTCTATGAACCTTTGATCCTAAATGCTATTTTGATGGATTAAGCTGTCTTCACTTTCGACAACTTCATTGGGAACCCGTCTTAAAACTATTTTTAATAATTGAAAGTAGTTTTGTGGAGACACATTTTATGTTTACATTAGAGTTCACTTTAACGTGGTACACTCAGAAAATAAAATTACCCTTAAATTGAAATAATCGCAATACAAAGTATATTTCTAAAATTATATCTTTCTCTGTTCAAATTTAGAAAAGCAAGTAAGAGTGCTTTAAGCGAGTGAGCTAGACTACGAGATACCCTAAACACAGGAGCTGAATATATTATGCTAGTTGTATTGTCATATTTGAAGTCTCTGCTGTTACGAATAGGCTAAAATGCTCGTCCTACCGAATTTTATTGTTTGCAGTTGTGGATTGAGATGCACTTGTAAAAATCAATGCTTGGCTTAAGTTTTGAATTTAAATGAATCTTAAATTCACTGTAAAAGAACAGAATGTTCAGGGATGTTTGATTCAGTAATTACATCAATGTTAGGATCTGCTGATAGATAGATTGTAAGTCCTGCTCTTAAGGATAGGTGGTAGAACGAGGATTGCAAGAAAAGCATAGCTGAGAATTACAATCTCTCATGTTAGCTGAAGTGATACCTTGTAACTTGGTAGTCCGATAACAGCATGAATTGAAGGAGTTTAATGCACCTTTATAACTCAAAAGCATCTTCCAACGTGTCTGCGACACATATTTTTAGGGCGTTTACTTCTCAAAAATTGTATTAAAAATTAAAACATGTTCGTAAATAAATTTAAGTCGAAGCATATCAATATTTAACGTTAAATTGGTTTTAATGTTGATGTAGATATTATGTTATGCGAGTATATTGTATTTATTATATTATAATGGATGGCTTCGCTATATACATTGGTATATTTGAGCTCATTGATAATGAACATATGCTTAATTGCGCTTTATCCATCTTTCTTCCACCACTTCATGCAACCGAATGCCTCGATGCCGATCAGATATCGATACTTTTACTGATATCGCCACAGACTCGATTACCTGCTCTCAATAGTATCGGTACTATGTTAACAAGGTTGCCAGATTGCTTTGATCGCTTCTTGTTTTTTTTATCTCCTATACGAATTCCCAAATTGAAATAAATATTTTCGAAATTTTTGGCACAGCTGTTTTATGAAATGAATCAACATAAAATATAAATTAATAAAAAAAATTTTCTTTATATTTCAAATTAAAATGAACAGTGTAACATAATCTGATGATCGACAGGTCCAACAAACCAAATACAGGTTAAAATAAAATCCACAGCTTACATAAACCAATAATTTTTACTCTGTCTTGTTAGTCGCGAAAATTATTTTTATCCGAAGTGCATAATAAAAAGACAAAAAAAACTTTAACTTACAAAACTAAAACTTTAAATTTAAAAAGTTTGGTCTTTAGAGCTTAACAAAATTGTATGCGATTAATGTGGTATCCTAAGGAATGCCATTATTTACTTTCGAGCGTGTTGGGATCTGATCTGAGGAGATAATGTGAATCGAAGGGATTTTGTAAGAGTCGTAAATGAAGATTGCGAAATTAGTAAAAAGTTGAACTAAGATTATAGAAATTAAAATTGGGCAAAAGATATTTATATATATTTAGTAAAAATAAAAGAATCAACACAATTGTAATGCAGGTTGTTTTAAAAACTGGATTGTTTTAGGAGATTTACCAATATATTTTTCTGCATACTTTTAACTTAAGACAATAGAAAGACAACTCTGTAGAAAATCGCTCTAAACTGAAAATCACACTGAAAACTAGATACATTCTCTGATTTTTAGCAATAATTTTTTTTGTAATTTTAGGAATATTTTCTGAATACTAAATAAAAATAAAAAGTATACAATAATAAAAAACCAAAATTCAGGACGATGATTTTTCAGAATGTTATAAAATACATCAGTTTTTTTTAAATAAATGTACCGCTTTCCTACTCGTATTATTTGTAGCATATTTATTGGGTGGTGGCAAAAGGAAAATCATAGCACACTTCTTGGTTCCGCCCCTCATTTGTATACTGCGGCGGACGAGCGGGGTCTTGGAGTTGGAGTCGGAAGTTGAAGGGATACACATATTTTTCTGGGGCTTTGCATAATGCGATGCGATTTCGTCTTCCCGTAGCTGCTCTCTTTCGAGCTTTCGCTTTCAACTGCCGGCATATTATTGACATATTATTAATGAACTGTGCAAGTTTCATCTGGATAACAAAAATTCTTGTTATAGTCCAAAGTGTATCTCATTGCTATCAGCAGGATCACTAATAGGCAGACACCCGGACAGACGGACGGACATGGCTATATTGACTTAACTTTTCATTCTGATAAATAGATTATGGGTGCGAGATATTTAATGGCGATTCTTGTTTTTCTCAGAGTGAAATATATATTTTGGAATTTCTTGTCATAAAATAAAATATTGTAAAAAATACCACTAGGGAATCCACTGCAAAATACTATTTTGCGAGTATTACAACTTATTACTGAGTGCAATTCAAGGAATCTTCTCGATTGTTGTGTAAGTTTAAGATTTCGCAAAGATATTCGCTTCATAAAGTTATATGATCAAGTTTAGTTGAAGAATCATGTATCACTAATTTGAACAATATTTGTATGAATAAGGTGTTATTTATTTATTTAATTGAATTAATTATATAAGTATATCAATTATTACCTACCTCAAAGCTGACAATGCCGCTGTGATCCTGATCCAGGGTATTGAATACATAATGTGCGTATAATGTTGGATTTGCTGTGGTTATCGTTGTGGTTGTTGTTTGCGTTTTTTTTTATTTTTTTTTTTGGTTTTATTGTTGTTTGTTGTAAATGAAAGCAAGAAAAGAGCAGCGTTAAATGTGAGAGTTCATTGGTTGGCAGTCAGAACATAAATAAGTTGAAAACATGAAATGTCAACTCTTAATATAAACATTTAAATATGAATATATATATACACATTTACACATTTAAATATAAATATATACATATACATATATACAACTCTCAATATATACATATTTCATTTCTTACATTGCTATTGATGCGATCAACTATGCGAGAACATAAACAGCGTTTGCGAATGACAGATGCGAGATAGAAGTGAGAATACGAATGCCAAACTTAACCAAAAATGGCAAATAAAAGAGAAAGTGAAAGTGAAAGCGAAAGCGAAAGTGCAAGTAAACTTTTGTTCTGTGTGTTTTGTGTTTGTTGGGATGCCAGCTTGAAGATAGGAATGCCACCGCTGCTGTGTCATTATTGGGTCAAAACTTTTATGGGGTTCGACCCGCTTGTCTGTCCTTGCCCTCCGATGAACACTGTGCACTTGTGGCAGGCCACTAACACCGCCACCATCAAAATGAGAAGAAACAGAAAATTGTTGCAAGTAAACTTTCGTTCTGTCAGCCGCAAAGTTTTTGTTTATCGTTAAAAGTCAACTTTGTTCCCGAAAAGGGGCTTTCGACATGCCCATCTACGACCCGTTCTGCAAATGTGCCCAGCTAATTATGTTTGTGTGTTTGAGTGTGCGTTTATGGGTGTGCGAGTGTACTGATAAGTTGACAAATGCTCAACAAATTGTGCAGCATGTGTGCTAAATCAGATACCACAAAATGTGCGGGATATATTGTATTGTCCGCTTCTACTAACCGACTTAACCCAAATTTCAATTTTCAATTCTGTATTTAAAAAAATCCATATAGCCAAGCTGGACTCAGTAGCTGAGCCGCAATTGATTGTAGGATATTTGACTTGTCGATTACATTCCCTTGTTGTGCCGTCAGATAAAGAGTGTGCCTACCTACGGTGGCAACACGGTTGTGGCATGTCTTTAAAAACAGTTTTGCTGCATAATAATGTAACACAACGGCACTTCCCTGTAGCACCGAGCACCGAGCACTGAGCACTGAGCACTTGGTGTCAATGTCCTTATCTGGCTATCACATTACATTTAGATTATTGGCAAGCAGCGGCACACTTTGACACTGTTTATGTTTATGACTTGATGTTTGAGCAGCCTCAGCTGCAACTGCAGCTGTATCCCCCACACCCTGTCTTCCTCCTTTTTGATACTCGCGCTTTTTATGGGCACTGAATGCTTACACTTGCTTCGGGGAGTCGAACAAAAATGCAGTTCATAAAAAAAGGGGCACTCGTTCATCTCGGCAAAGAGCGTTTTTATTGATGTGCTTGCTGGCTTGCTGGCTTGCTTTCCTCGCTGTAAGCAGCAGAGTAAGGGCAATGAGCAATGGGGATTGGTGTATGGGGTATGGGGAATTGGATCTGTTGGGGATGCTTTCTTGCGGCACCGCGAACTGCCAAAAATGTATTTGTCAAAGTTTATTGTCGCCGTTTGATACTTAATGTATTTTTATGACGCATGACGCACAGGCACGCCCACAGTGCACCCACATAGCACAAAGCACAGAGTAAGGTCAAAGCTCAAAGACAAAGACAGTATCTGTTGTTGCTGTTCTTGTTGATTTTGTTGTTGTTGCTGCTGCCAGATATGTTTATGTTTTGGCCAAATCAAAAACTGACTGCAATTGTGTCGTGTAAAAATGTTTCTACAATTTTTCCGTTGAAAACTGGCAATACAACAGTAGGGAAAATTTATGGAAAACTCCGATGAAATGTTAGAACAGTGCAGTGGGCAACTGGAACCGAATATTCAGATTGTGACTGCGACTGGGACTGTGCCCAAAAGTGATAAATCACCAACTTTGATGATGATTTTTTTTTCTAGACTCTTTTTTTGTTGGGTTTATTTTTTTTCTCGCTTCCACATTCTTTTGCTTTTGGCTCAGTTGCCGCCTTGTCTTAGGTCGCGCTCAAAGCCTCCGCCCCAGCTTGCATCACTCACATCCACATCCACGTCCGCATCCGCAGCGTCGTGGCGGAGTGGAAAAGCGGCTTATCAAAATAAAAAATGATTTCATTATTTATTTTTCATCAGATAACTGAGGCGCAGCATGTCTCGTGTTTACTTCGCTTTTTACAAGCGTTTCCGCCTATCGCTGTCGATGCTTGTTTGTCAGCCTAATACAAATGCTACGTGGCACCTCCCACCATCTCTATTTCTACCTCTGCCCTCCGACTTCCTCCGACTTCCACTTTCACTGCTCCACCTTCAACGTAATGCTCGAGCTGCTCTGCCATCTCAAGGCTCCATCTCCTTGTTCACATGCATTACCATGTTCCATGTTCTTGTCTGCGTTCTTGTCTCGCAAGCCAGCCAAATAAGTTTATTATAATAATTTAGTGCCAAACATGTGTAGCAATATTTCTCTGTGTGTGTGGGCTGTTTTTTTTTTCTTGCTTCGTCCTGACCGAGGGGATTAGTGCATGACAACGAAGCAAAAAAAAACACAATCATGGATTTTAAGTAGGATTTATTGTGGCCCACAGCGGCATACGAGCCAGCTCACATATATATATATATATAAATATTTATATATGTATGTCTATATTCTCGTTTTTTATATATTCTTTTTTTATTATTAATATGTGTAGTCATTGTGGGTCCATCAGTTTGTACCAATTGCGAAGTGTTTTTTGTAGCTATAATTAACGCACTGCGATCATTTGAAGAGTTTCAGTTTTACAGCAGTTTTCCAAATGATTTCAAGAACTTTTCTTCATGTCGTAAATGTAAAATCAAACAATAAACAACTGAATGCTCATCCATAAATGCTTTCCGGGCCAATGCTAAAATGATGTCTTAACATGATTATAGAATGCATTCGAAATGTTTGAAATTTAAAATGCTGTGTCTGGTTTACGTGTCTGTTTATGCCAAGATAAATCAGGCGTTCTAGCTATCACTTCACCTTGTGTAGGTACAATCCAATTGGCATTAACCCAGATTTGGCAGTCGTTCAATTGGTCCGCTTCCCAGTCAGCCAGTCAGCCAGTCAGTCCGCTAGTCAGTCAGTTACTGTCCAGTATCTCATTATCCATGCCGCAACTTTGGCCAAACCGGGCAGGGGAAGCTTTTGTGGCAAGGCTTTTATTTATGGCAGCAGCCGCGTGGCATAAAGTAAATGAGCAAATTTACTTGTTATTCAAACGAGGTCAAGTGGGTGAAATGGGTGAAACATGGTTGCTTGCTTGCCTTGGCCAAGCCCCTGCAACCAGCCCAGCCTGGGCCAGCCCCGCCCGACCCGAGTCAACCCAAGCCAACCCAAACCAACCCAGCGGCGACTTGTGAAACATGATTTTGCTTTTTATACTTTTTGCTAATTTGCTCTCTCAACATTTTAGTTTTACAAAGCAAAGGGCTTCGCTGCAAAGGCAAACCCAAAGGCAAGGCAGTGTCCTTTTCCCACAACTCTTTAAAACCAGTTATAGTCAGAGCCAGAGCCAGAGCCACAGCCAGAGTCAGTTCATGTTCTCATGTTCTCATTCATCTTCTTCATCTATTGATCAAAGTTAATAGTTGGCATTGGCCTTTGTTTTGGCCACTGCCAACGAAACACTGAGCCAATACTAACGATAATACATATTGGATTTCCATGAAATGAAATTGGCAAGAGCATCTGCTGCCATCGAACCAATTTCAATGCGGGCCCATTCCCATTCTTCCCAGTTCCTTGCTCGATTGCTAATAGATTACAATAAGAGTTGTGGAGTCGCTTGCTTTCGACCATCAATGGGGATATACATAGGTCTATCAAGGATTACATTTATGATGGTTGGCTTTTTGAAAACTGATTATGCTTTAGCTTAAGCCTTGCTTAGCAGTTGTGCCCTTTGAAAGTTTTACTGTCAGACATAAATGTGTTTAGTTATTTGAACGGAAGTAGTAACAAGCAACACAGTCAAATGGTCCAACGATACCAAGCACGGGTTTGTTAACGCACGGAGGGGATACGAAGATCGCGAATTACCCGATAGATGACTCAACACAGCAGTTTCAATAGAAGAAATTGAAGAAGCACAACTTATTAATGGGAAAAGTATATTATAATTTATACATAAGATCAGAGCAAAATGGATTATGGATAGCATAATTCGAGCTACAAGTTTGAAAAAAGAGGCAGAAAGCTCCTCGTATTTCTGATCGGAACCGTAAAATTAAGTTTGCTGATTAACTCAGAAGAATCAATTTCACAGCTTGTAAGCTTATGCAAAAAGATTGGACCATGCATTATTCTACGATCAGAAAGAGAAGGTAGATTTATAAATAAAAGTGTTGCGGTGTATAGCTGAGAATTTTAATGAGAATGCTATGTGTGTGAATACGAATATAAGGGATACATATATATATTAAATAATTACATAATTAAAACAGTTGGAATCAGCTTGAATCACTTAGAATTTTTTGTTTGTCTGTTGCTTAGTGTTTTCATTAGATGAATAATTTATTACTGCTTTCTTCGTTCAGCTTATCTTTTGTTTGGCCAGCAAATAATTTTAGGTTTGTTGAATTGAATATTGAATATTTTCTGAACACAGAATTTTTCACATTGAATTGATATGACAGCAAACTATTTTCAAATTGACAAGGAATACTTGATCCTTAGCAGGAGTTTGTTATTGCCTGCAGTGATTTAATGTTAATTACTTTAGCAGAGAAACTGACACAAGTTATGTTTAAGTTGAAACCTTCTTAATTATAATCACTTCGTAAATACAAAAAGGCAATTCAAATTTGTGCTTGAAATTTAAACTTTCTTAAATATAATATTTAAAGCAATCCAAAACAAGGAACTGTCATAAAAACTATTAGCTGAACGTACAAGTGACGTTTTAATGGTATTCTATATTCTATATATATATACATATAAATAAGAAATCAACTTAATGTTTTTGGAATTTAATTTTGAGTTTACAAATATAATTTTTTGGAATGTAATTAATATTTGAAATGGTGTGTTTTGATAATGAGGGTACTATGTATGTATGTTTGTATGTACATATGTATGTATGTAGGCAATCGTTAATAATACGCTAGAGCAAAACACAAATGTTAACGAAACAAAAATTATACTGTACCGCACGAACCTCCCTGGGGAAAGAACTGCGAATAGATCACTTTGAAGGTATCCTCCTTGACGACGCCCGTGGGACATTCAGCCTTAAAACCACGATAAATTCGTTTGATTTCGTCCTCTGTGAAGCGGGTAGCGCGACTCAAGGCGCTCAGCGAATCGGGTCTGTATCGGGCCGGCGTCTCAAATTCTTCTAGTTCGGAATCTGCAAATCCATTTATAGACCAAGGCGCAAGTAAACGAGGGAAACAGAGAGAGAGAGAGAGAGAGAGAGAGAGAGAGAGAGAGAGAAAAGGAAAGAGAGAGAAAAAAATGAAAGCGATGCATGAGTAATAATGTTTATTAAGCAAAAGCTGTGGGATATTTATATTTCAATGCTTAGAAGTAAAATCAATTAAAATATAATATTGTTCCTGATGTTATCACCAGCTTCCAGTTATGTATTATAAATAGTCATATATTTAATATAGGCTTAAGATTGCCCCATAACTATGAGCTTAGAGAGAGAGAGAGAGGGGTAGAGAGAGTAGAGATAGACAGAGGCACAAACAACGCTCAATTCGCAACGGGAAAAGAGTACGAAACTGTCATCTTGCAAAATATTCCACAAGTTCAAATCGATTTTAACTTTGCAAAAAGACGAGAAAAAGCAGCTGAGTCTATCTAGCCGCGTCTTTCTGTATAAACCTTATCAGCTTAAGAGCATTCTTACTTGTTTCAGCACTGTAAGTGCTATTTTTTACGCTGTTTTTTAAGTGCGCAAATGGAACAAAAAGGTATCAGAACAGAGAGAGAGAGAGAGAGAGAGAGATAGGGAGAGCAACTGACTGCCATAAGTATTGTCAATAAAAAATAAATACTAAAATACAGCAATAAAAATGTGGAGAAAAAATACAGCAATGGAAAAAGCGGGAGAGGGATATTCAAAGATCCACACTATTTACTGCGAATAATATTTAAAATGTTTTAGCTCTTGTGGCTTAATTCTATTCATTTTTATTTTTTATTTGCTTTGTCTGTGAAGAAAAAACTGCTAAGTGTAAGGCGAAATAAAAATTAATCACAACTGCGAGAGTGGCTTCTGCCATTGAATGTATTACTTTTCATTATCTCTTTATTTGTTTATAAATGTTCTTGTCTACTATCACTTCAAGGACTCTTTACTCTTTGGAGACTATTTTCTTCTGAGCACTCTTGCAGAGAATATCACAATTTTTCATAAGGTTTGTATGGCATTAAGGGACACGTCTCCAACAAAATAAAGTATATAAATTCTTCTTTTCCTCTACACATTCTCGAGGGCTCTTTAAATGTTTTCAATTGTCATTGCATGAGTTTGAGAAAATGTCTCCCACAGCTACTGCTAGTTTCATCATCTTTGTAATTCCTCAACATCTTCGAAATGTGAGTGCGTATTTTTGTGTCTGTATATATGTATGTATGTGTGTATGTGTGTGTGTGTGCTTTAGCAACAATGATGAGCTTGACATAAAAGTTGCATGGCTCATGCTCAAATTGAATGCAGGTTGGCCAGAGAGCGAATCGATAGCGAATACAATACGCATAAAATATCTGATACAAGACTGAATTGCTTATGTTGTCCTCTTGGGGGGAACTCTCAAGACTGTGTGGGATGTGGGGCGGTGGGTGGGATGGGAGTAAATCACCTTGACAATGACAGTTTGAAAGCAGACACTGAACATAAATTGAAACATTCGAGTGGTATTCAGCGGATCTGACAGTCAGCGGCGCGCAGAAACTTTTACATTGCCTCATCGCGAATGACAGCCGCTCCAAGGACATCCGTTGTGCCATATCCATATCCATTTGATATCCGTAATTCTGGCTCCGCCAAGTAGACAAATTTCAATTTGCTTTGGCTCTAGGATGATCGGGTCTCTGGCAGTTAAGCGCCGGATTTGCTGGCAGTCAGCTTTTGGATTGGCCAGCGATGAACAGAGCAAAAGTTTTATTGAAAAAGTTTCATGAATGACAAGTTGGCTGATGGCCCCCAACTCTGCCCCATCTGCCCTACTCTGTCTCTCTTTCTAATGATAATTTTATTTTAATATGCAAAATGATTCTGCACTTTGCTTAAATTAATGAATTCAAATTTAAATTTGCTTCCTTCTAAAAAAAACCCTTTCACTGCAGATTGTACACTCAACTCATTTGTTTTCTCTAATGGATAATAATTTTGAGTGATCAGACTGATAGAGATTGAAATTGTTAAACAGTATAAAAATACTTCAAGATCTTTCTTATTATCTGATAATTTGAATGAAATGTACATGTTTAAAAATGTTTCGTTGATTAGCATTGGATTCGACTATATAGGTATTTAAAAATGTTCCAAAAGTTTTCAACTTGTATAGTGTCTGAGATCAGCTCAGATATTTTGAATATATGTTTTCAGAATTTTTTCTTATATACAAATATATATTTTACATGTATCAAATCGATTTGTATCGAAATTCCAGAAACGGGAACAGTTATCAGTAAGACTGCAACAAATCTATATCTGTTTAAAAATGAATTAGAAATCGAAATGTTCGAAAAGTCCGACTGAAATATGCCTTTAGGATTGAAGATGTACGGTACAAAGGTTAATATTGAGTTTTCTATAATACTGGCAAACCCTTTCGTAATTTTTTTTTAATTCTGCTCCATGATTTCTAAGCCACAACACAAAGTTACAAAATTTTGCCCAAAGCTTTTAATGTCGATCGATCTTAATGGGATCGATGACGAAAAGGGAATGGTCTTCAAGCCAGTTCTAGATTATTCTAGCTGGTATCCTTTGGTTCGATCTCCTGGTGGAATCCACAGTAAGTGTATTTAATCACATTCGCCAATATTTCAACGTGTTTAATCTATTTGAAGTCATTCGGGGAATATTTGTGTTTCATTTCTTTTCCAACACACACAACACTAAAGCAGAGCTCATACAGCTAACACAGACGTCGATATACAATTTCAATATAGGGTTTTTTCTATAGGCGGCACTGTATTTAGAGAGAGATGGCAGCTGGCTTCTAATTTTGGCCATTAATTTCTTGCTGCTTGTCGCCTTCTTGCTTTTGACTGCATTTTATGGTTTCCCTTAGCCTCAAATCACAGTTTGGCCGTTTTCCCGCTACAGCTCCGGCTACATTACTAAAAACATCTCAATTTCCGACCGAGTCTTAGCCATTTGTTGTTGTTTGTTCTATTGAGATGGTTTTCCTGCTCTTTTTTGTCAGGCAGTTTGCGTCGACTTTTTGTAAGCTTCTTGCAATTTGGTCCTGCGCTTAACTGCACTTCATAATTTCTTCATTACGAGCATAAAACGCATCCGTAATTGAATTCTTCGTCTTCGCTTTGTGGTTGCTTCAATTTGTGCACTTGATGGCCAACAACTTAAAGTCCTTGCATTGGCCAAGACTGTGCTGCCAGTCTGCCAGCGACTCTGTATGCTTTTAATTATCATTTCATTATTTTCTGTTTGTTGTTTGATACTGTACATAATTTTTAATGGAAGCTGCGACATTTTAAGTGCTTGTGCAGGCCACGACCAAACGGAGGGGCGTGCCTCAACTCGGGGGTGGTTGGGTTGTTTTTGGATTGGTTTGGGTCGTGTCAGCTGTCTTGGTTTTATTGTTGGCTGTTGACTACTTAGTGAGACACCTGAAGCTGGCACCTTTGAGGCCTCTACGGCACTACGACTGCCTATCTTGACAGTTGGCTTTCTTGGCGCACTTTCACTTTCACTTTCACTGCCATTCACTGGTTCTCAGTTGAAAAACACGGGATGCCAGGACACCTTGTGCTTTGTCAGTCATGTTTCTTTCTCCTTTTCTGTCTTTCTTTGTGAATTTTTGATACTCTGCTCTAATAAAGATGTCATTTATCATAAATCATAAGCCAGTCTCCATAGTGTGGAGCTTTGTTTCATCGACAAATAGATGATAGATAGATGTGTATACGTAATTCAACTTTGACGGTACAGCGTATTTTGGAGTCGGCCAGTCTCAAATAAAGCACTATTACTTTTTATTCGTTAAATTTTTGTTTGTTTTCGTACTCGTTTCATATGAGCATATTTCTGTGTGTGTGTGCATTTAAGTGTCAGGGCTACCACAATTTAATTTATTTAAGGGCATTCTGAGCGGCTTGCAAATGAGTTAAGTGCATTTTACCCTTCACACTTCACTTTTGTTGTACCCCTTGTACTCTGTAACAATTAAAATTGTTTAAAAAGTGAATCCCAGAGGCGACAAATGCAAAACAAAATCTGGAAATTAAACGGATCAAGTAAATTGTGGTTTATCTTTTTACTTCCGCCGTTTTTCTAATATCGATTAAAATTGATTTTAGATTGCAATAATAGGCATAATTTTGTTATTCAATAAGAATATACCTAGAATAAATCGAATAATGAATTTTCTACAATTCAAAGAATACAATGACCTTCAATTAACAGAACAACATGTAAAATTCATTGAAGATCTTCGACATGGTCAATTATTGTTAGACTAGGAGTTGGGTGCAGGGTATCTACTAGTCGAACTATATCTACTCGAGCCCACTGAGCTCATTGAAACCGGGAAAAGGGTATAATGAAGCTGTGCAAATTATATATTATAATATATAATATATATATATAAAGTTACAGTCTTCCCATTCATTTTCCGCACGGCATGTGTGCGTCTGTGGACACGCGTGTGCTATCTTGATAAATGCAGCAACAACAGCAGCAGCTGAAATAAGAAAACAGATTTTGTTGATGCCCCTGTGCCACCGCTTTGGTTGCATTTACTTGGTAATTGTCTGGGAAACTCGTGGCGCCACAGCAACAGCCGCAAAAATGTGCAATAAAAGAAGGCATCAGAATCTGCACAATACAGCAATGAAAAAAATAACAATTGTTTCATTCTTGCAAGTTGCAACTTGGCGGCAACAATGTGACGAGAAGCGCGCCACAAACTTTGTCCTGGGCATTTCGTTTTGTTAAAAGTGTTAAGCATACGCCGTGTGCGCCCGCTCTTCTTTTGGCTATGAAAAAACTCCATTACGACCTCAAACGAGATATGTGCAGGCATTGTTTATGTGAGCTGCGCTACTATATCTCAACCTAGAGCATAAGTGGGAAAGATAGCACTGCCCGAAAATACAGTTAGCCGAATTGATCAAAATTATGATTATTGATAAATCCCATTCTGTTCA